AAATCCGACCCCAAATGGTCTTTCAAATCCCAAATCAAAAGTCCAATTTCTCAAGACCTAGTTCTTTAATTTTTAGGCTTAGTTTCCATGAATTTCTAGGTGGATTTCATAATACAATCGAGTTTTAAGATCAAGATTCTTACCTCAAGTCGATTCCTCTTGAATCCCTCTTTAATTTCCTTCAAAAAATGCCCAAAAACGAGCAGCCATGGATGAAAATAGACCCAAAATTGCGGACAAGACGACTTAAAAACATTCTACCCAGGCTCGGCTTTCCTTCTTTGCGAACGCGGTCAACATCATGCGAACGCATAACAAAAAAATGCGTTGACCAATTTTTGCCTTACGTGAATGCGACATGCCAGTCGCGAACGCAATGCTTCCATAGCCTTGACCTTCGCGAACGCGATGAATAACTGACCATCAGACCAAATCCTCCTTCGTGATTGCATATACACACTCGCGAACGTGATGAAGTCACTTCACAAGCCTTCACAAACACGGCATGGACCCTCGCGGACGTGAAGCTTACGAAACCCGGCCCTTCACGAATGCGAAGGCCAAAATACCTGCAACTGCTGGAATAAAATCTGCAATTTTCCAAACTCCAAAATGATCCGATTGACCACCCGAAACTCACCCGAGGCTCCCGGGACCTCAACCAAAGGCACCAACACATCCTAAAACCTCATTCAAACTTGTTCCAATCATCAAAATACCTCAAACAACAACAAATCGCTCAAAACACATCAGATTCAAGCCTAAGTTTTCTAAAAACTTCCGAAATACACTTTCGATCAAAAACCCAACCAAACCACATCCGAATGACCTGAGATTTTGCACACACATCCCAAATGACATAACGAAGCTACTGCAACTCTCAGAATTCAATTCTGACTCCCGGATCGAAATCTCACCTAACAATTGAAAATTACCAAAATCTCAACTCCGCCAATTCAAGCCTAATTCTACTCCGGGCCTCCAAAACAAATTCCAATCATGCTCCTAAGTCATAAATCACCCAACGAAGCTAACCAAATCATAAAAATTCCAATCCGAGCTCATATACAAATAAGTCAACTCTTGGTCAAACCTTTCAAATTCGGAGCTTTCATCTGAGACTGTTCTTTCAAATTCCTTCCGATTTTCCTGAAAACCAAAACCAACGATCTACATCAGTCATAATACATTACACGGGGCAAGCCATGCCTGAGAAATGGCGATCAAGTGCAAAAGCTCAAAATGACCGATCGAATCATTATATCACCTACTAATGTGAGCTACGCAAGCCAAACCTTTAATCTAATTACTTCATTAACCAATTATTTCTTTTTAACAAATATAAGACGATAACGTGGTAACAACAAAAAATTCAAATTTAAGCGGAAGACAACAATAAGATTTATGAAAATTGCATCTATTACAAATACTTAAGCCTTAACCACCCAAAACCTGGTGTCACAGTATCACAGACTGTCTAAGATTGCTACATACAAAGTCTGAAGAAATAACAGTACACTGTTTCTGAATAAAAGGAAAATAAAACAGGAAATAGGGATAGAGGGAGATGCTAGGGCCTGCGGACGCCTGCAGGTCTACCTTGGGTCTCCGGATGGACTGAAGGAAGCCTCCAAGCTACTGTCCAAAAGCTGCTCCGGGATCTGCACATAGTGCAGAGTGTAGTATCAACACAACCGACCCCATGTGCTGGTAAGTGTCCAGCCTAACCCCGGCGAAGTAGTGACGAGGCTAGGACCAGACTACCAAATAAACCTGTGCACTTCCAATATATATACAACGCAAAAGAAATACAGAAGTAAACAAATAAAGATAGGATGGGGAAACATGCTTCGAGGAGTAACATGTAAAATAGAATATCAAGAGAATTATAAAGGAGTCAAAATCAACCACTAACAAGAATAAGGAAAACAAAGGCAGATTTCACTTTATTTTCACATCTTGTTACAGGTGTGCAACCCGATCCCATTTCCTGTGTCTTGTGGCAGGCGTGCCACCCGCTCCCATTTCATTCATCTTGTGGTAGGCGTATCACCCGCTCCTATTTTATTATATCTTATGGTAGGCGTACCATCGACTCCCATTTCATTATATCTTGTGGTAGGCGTACCACCCGCTCCGATTTCATTATATCTTGTGGTAGGCATACCACCCGCTCCCATCTCATTATATCTTATGGTAGGCATACCACCCGCTCCCAATTACAAGCCAACAATAATTACAAGAAATCCCGGCAAGGGAACAAGAGCAATATAACAACTTCCCGGCAAGGGAACAATGATATTTCAACTACATCCCGGCAAGAGAACAATAATATCAAACAAACACCCTGACAAGGGAACAATAATATCAAAACAAACATCCCGGCAAGGGATCGTTAATATCAAACGAACATCCCGACAAGGGAACAATGGTGATAATAACATATGAAGTGCAATAAACCACAATAGAGTCATAACAATTATAATACAAGACTCACGGGCATGCTTGACACCAACGTATAGATACTTGTTACCATGCCTATACGTCGTACTCCACAATTAACATATAACAAATAAGACACAACTCCTAATCCCTCGAGCTAAGGTTAGACCAAACACTTACCTCGATGCCACAAACACAATTCACGTTTCAATTATAGCTTTACCCCTTGATTCCACCACCAATTCGCTCGAATCTAGCCACAAGTTACTTAATTACATCAGTAAATGCTAAATGAATCAACCCCAATGCATGAAAATGAGTTTTTCTAAAGTTTTGCCCAAAAAGTCAAAAAATCGCCTCCCGAGCCCACATGGTCAAAACCCGAGGTTCAAACCAAAACCCGATTACCCATTCCCCCACGAACCCAAATATATAATTTATTTTGAAATCGGACCTCAAATCGAGGTCCAAATCCCCAATTTTTGAAAAACCTAGGTTCTACCCAAAACACCCAATTTCCCCATGAAAATCATTGATTTTAAGTTGAAATCATGTTAAAAGATGTTAATGATTAAAGGAAATGAGTTAAAATTAACTTACAATCGATTTGGAAGAAGAGTTGTTCTTGGAATATCGCCCAAAGGAGTTTGCGTTTTGAAAAAAATGTGAAAAATGAGTTTAAAATCGTCTAAGTATAAAAGTTGTAGGTCTCAGATGCGGGAATTGCGAACAGGGGTTCGCAATTGCGAACCTCGACCTCTGCTAGCTTGGGAATTGTGAAACATGGCTCGCATTTGCGAAGCCTTCAGAAAAAACTGGACTTTCGCATTTGCGATTAACATGTCGCATTTGCGACTTGGGAATTACGACCACAACATCACATTTGCGATCACCGACCAAATGGGAAACTTCGCAATTGTGAAGATAATCTCACATTTGCGAGAGGGAGCTAGCCTGGGCTTTCTTCGCAATTGCGACAAGCTGCTCGCATTTGCGAGCCAGGCCTGCTATGCACAGCTAAAAACCTGCAATTTTTTAAGTTAAAAATGCACTCCGTGGCCTATCCAAAACTCACCCGAGCTCTCGGGGCTCCAACCCAAATATACACACAACCTCAAAATATCCTACGGACTTATTCGTGTAATCAAATCACTAAAATAACATCATGAACATCAAATTAAACCTCAAGATCAATGAAATTTCTCAAAACTTCTTTAAACATCAAATTTTGCATTTAAGGTCCGACTCACGTCAAACGGATTCCGTTTCTAACCAAACTTCACAAAGTTATCTTAAATCATATATAAGACCTGTACCGGGCGCCGAAACCAAAATACGGGCCCGATACCAACACGTTCTAATAAAAATTTATTTCCAAACCTTATGAACAATTTCAGAAAATAATTTTCTTCAAAAATTTATTTCTCGGGCTTGGGACCTCGGAATACGATTCCGGGCATACGCCAAAGTCCCATATTTTCCTACGGACCCTCCGAGACCATCCAATCACGGGTCTGGGTCCGTTTACCCAAAACGTTGACCGAAGTCAAATTAATTCATTTTATAGTTAAAATTTATCACTTTTCACAGATTTTCAAATTTAGGCTTTCTGGCTACGCGCCCGGACGACGCTCACAAATTGAGGTGATGCTAAAAGAGGTTTTTAAGGCCTTGAAAAGTAGAATTTTATTTTTAAAACAAGTGATGATCTTTTGGGTCATCACATTTTAATTATAGGCAACTATTAATGTAAAAAACTAAATAAAATTTTCATAGTAGGATAGAGAATGTATAAAGAGAAAATAAAGATAATGTGAAGATACTTACTTTGAATTAATTTAAATATAAATAAATTAAACAATTAAAGTAATACTTAAAATATTATTAATAGATTTAAATGATAAAAGAGTTTTGAGTAAGAGGATAAAAGCATAAAATACATTAAATTTTGAGGAATATATATATATATATATATATATATATATATATCAATAATTATTAAAAGGATAATACTAGGCCCCACATGTAAAAATATAATGGGTATGTTGTTGTTATTAAAAGTGTAATAAATAAGACATTAAGTCAATTGGTAAGCTAATAAAACATCACATGACAATATAACAATATTAAGTAATAAATAATACAATACTTATAAGCAAAGAACAAAAAAAAAGTTGTGAAATATAGAAGAGTAAGACTTATTTTAATTTAAAATAAAAAATAAAGTAGTAGTAAGAATTTTGTTAAAATAATATTATCTAATATACTCAAACAAGACATATCACGGTATGACATGTTTAGTATTCTATAATATTGATAGTGAAAACGAAATGCAAGTACTATAATCGACGGCTGTGTTGTAACAAATATAGAAAAGAAAATAGATTATCGATTATGAGATTTGAGAAATAGTTTCATGTCATGCTTTCTATTTAATATCTAATGATTATATATAATATTTATCTGGAAGATTTATATTTTAAGGATATTTCACAGAATTCAAATAACCCAAGTTAGTTTTGACATAATTTGTGTCAACTAATACTAGTTATACTTATAGCGAATCACCAAACAAAAGAAGTTCGAAACAAATAGGTTGATCCCCGTTTCCAGGAAAAACGCTTTGCACCGGTCCAACACCCTCTCCACTTCTCGCCATTTTTCAGAGTAAAAGAATTATGGCTTAGGGCGGAGCTTAAAGAACGAACTCGCACGGCCAACAGCCGCTGCAGTAGTACAATTGATGCCGGTAAGTTGGAAATTTCTTTGATTTTAAACGTGCTTCCATTGATGTTATCGGAAATGAAAATTGAGTTAATTGAATTTATTAGGGTTGTGCTTTTTCGGTTTGTATTAATTGGGCAATGTGAAACTATGTTGTTATTTGATCTAAATGGGCTGCTGCTAGTTTTCTTTTTGTAGTTGACAACCTTATTTCCTGTATTCACAATTTGTCAATTGAGAAGAGCTCACAATTTGGGTGATTGAGCCATGTAATGAAGATGAACACTAAATTATCCCAACAGAAACTCAGAATGTACTATCTAAATTATTCAGAGGAAGAAATTAGCAGACCTCAGTTGTGACACTGCAGCCTCTTTCTAAAGCAGGCAAAGTTTCTTGGATAGTATGCTTAGCTAGAATTTCCTCCGCAATATGCATTTACTTGGTATAATTAGTAGTGTTGGACTGCCATTTGAAGAATGGAGTGTGCATAGATGATAGGAACAAAAGGGAGAGCAAGTAAAATAGGTTCCACATAATATGAAACATTGTATTGTGTCAAACTACCTATACCTGTTTGATCTGATCTTTTTGACAAGAATGTAATAGAAGATGTCGTAGAAGACATCCACTTGGACGCCAGCCAGTAAGATTGATCTAGTTCAGCTGTGGATCTAGAATTTTGGGTTTGAAATGCAGGTCCTGGAATATATATCTAACCTTATTTATACTCTATTTTCACACATATATCAATCTTTGACTGGAAGCCGAGTTTCTACAGAAACCTGAGAGTTGATCTGCTACTTACCTAATTAGCTCACAACTAGTGAGCTAGTCATACGGCTTGCTAAGCACAAAGTAGTGTTTTGGAAAGCGTTAAGCGCAAAAAAGCGACGAGGCCTCGCTTCACAGAAGTGCTTTTTTTTTTCCCATGTGAAGCGCAATTTAACACATAAATAAAAAAAATTAAATAGGCATAGATAAATGGCTAAGAACTCATTAAAAATAACATATTAAGCAAATGGCTTGATGCCATTGAATAATCAAATTAAATTTACTACAATCAACAACTAAAAAAATAATAATTTAATTCACTGATAAATTGTAGAAAACAGAAAACAGAGCATAATTGCAGAAAACAGAGCATACAACAACATAAAACAGAGCACTTTTAATAACAGAAGAAGAAGAAGTCATTTAGGGAACAAAATGAGCGCTTAAAAAGTGAAAAAATTTGAAAGAATTCCATCAGAAGAAGAATAACAGAAGAAGAAAAACAGAAGAAGAAGAACAAAAGAAGAACAGAAGAAGAAGAACAGAAGAAGAAGAAGTTGAAGAAACTTACTGAGATCTGGAGAAGAAGTTGTTGGAGCAGCAGTGGTCGTCGCTGGAGTTCGCTGGAGAAGAAGTCGCGTATGTTTGTTTGTTCACAGATGGTTTATTTGCCAAATTTTAAAAAACAAACCCTAGCTGATGCCTTCTGCTCGCTTAAGCACGCTTTTTCTCACTTTTCCTACCGGCTCGCTTGTCGCTTAAGCCACGCTTTTTGAATGTGTCGCCTTTTTAGCAGAAAAGCGCTAACCTTGCGCCTTGCCTCGCTTCATCGCTTAAAGCGAGAAGCGAGCGCTTATGACTGATGAGTGCCATTTTAGTCTTTAAAAGGCTCTGAGTTAAGATGGCTGGCCACATTCAACCATAGCTAAATCAAGATGCGATAAGACTGAAAACTATTTAACAAAGTGCTTTTGATTGCTCAAGACATCTCTTTTCACTTGACTCGAGGAACAAAATACTCTTAAATTGTTCCAGCTTCACTAATTGAGGCAATCAAATAGGTACCATGCATGAGGAGGATGAAATAAAGATATGCTATTGAAGAATAGTGGACATTATACAAAGAATGGCTCAAAACAGAAGGCTGAACATCTTTGAAAGCTGTTTCTCAATCAAGACATTCCATCAAATGTTGTTGTCACGACCCTAAACTCATACCCGGTCGTGATGACGCCTCTCGTGAAGACAAGGCCAACCGACACAACACCCAAATCTTTTTAAGCAATTAAAATAATATAAATTAAGTCTTTAACATAGTAATAATCCCAAAATAAGCAGTGAAACAGTACAATTTGCGGAAATAAAACCAACACAGCCCGACATCGGGGTGTCACCAGTCATGAGCATCTATCATAATTACAAGTCTGTAAGAGTCTACACAACTATTACATAACTAAAACGGAAGGAAATAAGATAGAGGGAGAAACACTGGGCTGCGAACGCCGAGCAGCTACCTAGTGAATCTCCGAATCTGCTGGAAGCTCTCAACCATCGCAAGCAGGACCTTAAGCGCCTGAATCTGCACACAGGGTGCAGAGAGTAAAGTGAGTGAACTCAATGAGTAATAATAATAAATGAAGACTGAGCGATAAGAAATCACGTAAAGGCACATCAACATGCTATAAGGAGCAGTATAAAACCAGTAAAAATAATGAAATAGTGAAAACATGTAAAGTCACCTTAGTTCAATTTAAGCTTCTTTAGAATACCTTTTTAACAGTTAAGCAGATAAATGACAGGCAGCTAGAAAAGATAAACACATAAAGAACCGCCCCTCGGGCACGATACCAACAGAATCAGCCCCTCGGGCAACACATGGAACAATACCAGCCCCTCAAGCTATATCTCATATCTCAATGGGTACCCGCGCTCACTGGGGGTGTGCAGACTCCGGGAGGGCCCCCTTACGGCCCAGGCGCAATATCAAGTCATCTCGTGGCATAATCAGTAGGCTCTCGGCCTCCTATCAACAAGCCACCTCGTGGCGTACAATCTCAGGCCCTCGACCTCATAATCATAAATCAGTGTATCCTCACAACACAGACCCTCGGCCTTACTCAGTCAAAATCTCGTAAGCCACTCGGCAACTGTAAAACATGATGCTCAGCTCAAATTATCATTTAGAATATCATTTAATGTGTTAAAATAGAGTAAACATGGCTGAGTTATGCAAACAGTAGAATATAGCATGACTGAGTACAAGTATAAAGTCAAAACAGTGAGGAAATATCAGTAAAAATCCCTTGAGGGTCCAAATAGTTGGCACGAGGCCCAAATATGGCATTTAGCCCGAAACATGATGATAACAAATAGTTTTCAATCAAATACGCGGTAAAACAGTCATTCGGGATGGACTAAGTCACAATCCCCAACGGTGCGCGACCTCACGCTCGTTATCTAGCGTGTGTGTCACCTCAATATAGTACCACGATGTGCAATCCGAGGTTTCATACCCTCAGGACAACATTTAAAATCATTACTCACCTCTATCCAGTCCAACTCTAGCCCGCGACGCCTTTGCCCCTCGAATCGGCCTTCACTCGCGTCGAATCTATCCAAAATCAGAATCACAACGTCAAAATATGCTAAGGGATCGAAGCTCATGCGAAAATAATCAAATTATAGCATAAATCCCGAAATTAACCAAAACCGACCCCCGGGCCGACGTCTCGGAATTCAATAAAATTTACATCAATAGATTCCTTATTTCCCCACGGGTTCATACACATCAAAAGTCCCAAAATCCGACTACAAATGGCCCCTCAAATCCTCAAGTCAAGGTCTCCAATACCAAGCCCTAGTTTCCCAATTTTTAACCCTTAATTTCCATTAATTACAGCTCTAATCCGTGAAATAATACCATAGGATCGATTATTAGACTCAAAAATCTTACCTCCAGATGATATCTCTTGATTCCCTCTTCAAAATCTTCCAAAAAGCTCCAAAACCGACTTGAAATGGTGAAGGACAACTCAAAAATCGCGAAGGAATGCTTTTATACCTTCTGGCCCAGGCTTTTCGCACCTGCGGTCCAGATCTCGCTCCTGCGCAACCGCTTCTGCGGTCCCAAGCGCCGCATCTGTGGTCCTCACTTAAGTCTTCAACTTTCGCATCTGCGATGCACAATCCGCACCTGGGCCATCGCAGGTGCGGTTCTTCAACCGCTTCTACGGTTTTTGCCTTCCTAGGCTCTTTCTGCTTTTACGACTCCTATTTCGCTTCTGCGAGACCGCACCTGCGGTCCCCTAGCCGCAGGTGCGGTTATGACAGCAAATGGCACATCTTCAGCTGCCAAAACCAACTTCCAAACTTTCCGCCAACCATCCGAAATCACCCCGAGGCCCCCGGGACCTCAACCAAAAGCACAAACACATCATATACCACCATCCAAACTTATACCAATCTTCAAAACACCTCAAACAACATCGAATCAACCAAAACACATCGGATTCAAGCCTAAATTTCCAAAATCTTCCGAATTACGCTTTTGATCAAAAGTATACCAAACCACGTCTGAATGATCTGAAATTTTTCACACACATCCCAAATGACACAACGAACCTACTGCAGCTTCCGGAATTTCATTCCGACCCCTATATCAAAATCTCACCTATCAATCGGAAAACGCCAAAATTCCAATTTCGCCAATTCAAGCCTAAATCTACTCTGGACCTTCAAAACACATTCCGATCACGCTCCTATATCCCAAATCATCTCCCGAAGTTATCCAAACCATCAGAACTCACATCCGAGCCCTCTAATACATAAGTCAACATCCGGTTGACTTTTCCAACTTAAGCTTCCTCAAAAGAGACTAAGTGTCTTAAACCTTACCAAAACCTTTCCGAACCCAAGCCAACCAACCCGATCACACATAGAACCGATAAACAAAGCAATAAGAAGCAGAAATGGGGGAAACAGAGAGGTAACTCATGAGACGACTGGCCGGGTCGTCACAGTTGTGCTTCTGCATTTAACCCCACTTTTCCCAACCCCACTTTTCCCCAGCACAACCTGAAATTTACAAGGAAAAGGAAAACACACACTAACCATCAGCCTACATCATTTGACACCCACAGTTCCTTGACCAGAAGTTCATGTGTGAAAAAAAAAGAAGTAATCCTGCTCAGGAATAAGTGTTTGTAGCCAGAATCAAATTGAAAAATCCTCTGAGCATGGTTTTTAATCGCATAACCAACACCCCACCACTCCTGTAAATTGTAATATAACTACTCCTGGAGCATCCTCTTTTCCAATTACATAAGCATCAAATGTCTGCATTATATGATCACCTAAATGATTTAAAACAATTTTCTTTACTTTCATATCTGATTGGAAAAGAAAAAGAGAGACATACAGTGTCTTCTCTCTGAATCTTAGCAGGAATAAGTACTTTGTGGCCAGAAACAAATTGAGAAATTTTCTGAGCATGGTTCTTAATCTCATAATCAACCCCCCACCTCCCTGTAAATTGTAATACAACTACTCTTAGAGCATCCTCTTTTCCAATTACATAAGCATCAAATGTCTGCATTATACGATCACCCAAATGATTAAAAACAATTTTCTTTAATTAATTTCTGGTGGAAAAAAAGTAGAGATACATACAGTGTCCTTTCTTGAATGAAGAAGTAGACTCAGCCTTAGTCCTAACTTGCAGGCCAGAAAACGACAAACGAGGAGGAGAGAGTGTTCTGGTATGTGCAGGCCTTAACGTGTCAAGGATTGCACTAGCTTGAAGAATTTATATTTTCTCGAGTGAGCTTTATTATTAGTCATAGTTACGCTGAAATGACGCCGTTCATTGTTCGTTCTTTTTTGTAAATAGTTTATTTCCTTTGTCTCCTCTTGGGACAAGTGAAACTTTTGTCTTTATAATGACTAAAGATGATTCTCGAATTTATACTTATCAACTGTAGGTCTATTCCTGTGGGTTTCTAACGCAACCCGACTGGACACAACTTGGGAGTCCATAGCAGACACTTCCAATTTGAATGCGAAAATGTCAAAATCTCCATCTGTTATCACTCCCATCAAATTGATAGCATTGTCCTTCTTGGTATTTCTATTCTTCATATTTCAATTTTCTTCTCCAGTATCCGCTATCCGGAAGGATGTAAGTCTTCAAGAAAGATATACCTGTAGAACTACAGTTCAAGGAAGATATTTGGTTGCTGATGATATGGGTCAAGTCTGTGATGCGCTGTCCATTGATCCACACTCTCGCTGCTGCCGTGGAAAAAGAGAGCAATTTGCTTGTCATGGTTGCAATCTCGTTTCACAGTGTTGCAACTCCTATGAGTTTTGTGTTTCTTGCTGTCTGAATCCGTCTAGGACACAAAAGGATCTGGCTCTAAATGTCAAGATAGCTAAGCCTGTAACAGCAGGGACTTATTCAAGCCTTTTTGATTTTTGCATGGGAAGATGTCGTCACAATTCAGAGAGTGTGGTTCATGAAAACGCTTATCTCAGTGAATTTCATCATTGTTTCTCTATACCATCTAATTCTTCCGGTTCTTCTGGTGCACAAGCTGAAGCAAGGCTGGCTGGTATAAATGTTGTGATAGGAAGACAAGGTGAATCATGCAATTCAGTATGCAAATCAAGTGGTCAATCTTGTGTTCCCAACAAATTCTTATTGCTCAACCAGTGTGAAACGATGCAAAAGTACTTGGGCTGCAAAGGTGGATGTCTGGCAAGTGTCGGATCAGATCAGCCTGCTGAAGTAGTTGATGATGCCCCCAGAGATCTGAACCCTGGAGCCTGCTTGTACACCTCGCAACAGTCGATGCTATCTTGTGAAGGATCGCATCAGCATACGAAGAGGCTCTGCCCCTGCGCATAGTGTGGTGAATTTCCCCTGCTTCCCCCCTCCCCCCCACCTCACAAACACCCCTGCACCCCTGTACTAGTTATTAGTTTCTCTCATTTAGACTAATGCGGGCCTTTTTTCTTTAAAATTTTAAAATTTCTTAATAAAGTATTTGAGGCACAAATTTAAAATTTTGATTCAAATTGGATACTAATTCAAATATCGTTGTAATCTACTAAAGTTTTTTCATTAAAAGTAAGATCTTTATAATTATTTCAATATGTACTTGGTTTGAGTAACAATAGCGTCGGTGTTGGTTTGCAGGGAGGAGGATGCAGCCAGGGAATTCCACACAATTCATTCACTAGAGGTTAGCAAGAATGGCTCTTTTAAAATGATCACATAGTTATGAATGTGATATACTTGATGTGACTATCTAAATCATTATTTTCTTATTCTTTTTTTATTACGTTGGATATTAGGGAAGGATGGAAATATCTGACTAGCATGCAATGAGTTGGAATTGCTTAACTAGTTAGACTGAAATCATAAAACTATCTCATGATATAGCTTTAACCTATTATAAGAAAAGAAGCTATTTTATCAGGTTACAAATATATTTGTAGCAAGACGTAGGTCTAGCTGAAGTGAATCCCCTCCATAAAAAAGATATTCCCGTGCGTCTTTTTTGCCTCCATTTTTAACGTATTGAGGCTTGTTCTGCATTCCAATTCTAATTTATTTTTTCATGTTTATTGTTTATCCGTGTTTCAATATAAGGTGACATCTCCGAAATTTTTACTCTAAATCTTAAAATCAAGGAATAGCAGTATGCACTATGAATTTGGTAAATATTCCATTGGATGGAAAATATGAATATATGGCTTGGATGAATTGGTTAACCATTAATTGGATTGAGAGTGCGAAGAATTTGATTTGCTACTTATTTGAATATGAAGCGGCATGTTTAAATTTCTTCCCTCTTCTTCTCTTTACTCAGATTGAAATGATATGATGTGTTGCTAGGATTGAATGATTGGTAGTTATAATATTTTTGTAATGGTGATGTGCCATATGATATGTGAAAATAGGTGTTTAAGGTGGCTTATATCACTGTATATCATCATGCATACTTGTGTGTATAGCATATATTGCGATATACATTGTCGAATATATGATATACAATAATATTCACGATATACATTTTGATATACACTGGCAGAAAATGTGTCTGGCATAAAATCTGTGCGTGATATAGAGTGATACACAACAACAACGACCCAATGAAATCCCACTAGTGAGGTCTTGGGAAGATAGCGTGTACGCATATCTTATCCCTATCCCGAGGGGTAGTGATACACACGATATACAATTATGAGGGGTAGTGATACACACGATATACAATTATGTACTCCCTCCGGTCCACAATAAGTGACCAATTTGCTTTGGGCATACCCATTAAGAAAATACTAAATTCTAGACGAAAATAGTTAATGTGACTAAACTACCCTTCATCAAATGTTGCACAATAGTTATAGTAGTACTTCTCTTCTCTTCTCAAATGTGAGGAGTAAATGACTTTTTAAGGATACGTACATAAAGGTAATTTTGAAAAAATAAATTGAATTTTTTCTTGATTATATAAATGGATATTTATTTTGGACCAAAATAAAAAAGTAAATTGGTCACTTATTATGGACCGGAGGGAGTATATATTATCTATAACGGAAATTTTAGGTGACCTGTCATTTTCTTCCGGTGATAGAGTACGTTGAAAATTTTATGAGAATTTTGGAGGTTATTAAGGGGTTGTTGGAGAAAGTATCTGAGATAGTGTTGAGAAACAGACAAAATTATAGGAGCTACTTGTTGCTAATTTTTTGGGCTACATATGCCAATAAAATTTCTCGGCCGAAAGATGGTCAATTACAGAATTATTCATTAAAGTTGTACATAGATATCAATTTTGTAAGGCCCCGTGAAAATTTCTACTCAAAACCCGAAAGCTCGTAGTGCCAAGTTAGGCATGTGTTAGAGATGTGTAAAAGTTAGCCGCGGTTCAGACCCTTTGGATTGACCTGTGTATTAAAAAGTTAAGGAATAATGTTTTCCAGAAAAGTGCGTTTCTGCGGTCCATTATGCGACCGCAGAATAGCTATACGGACCGCATAGTCGCCGCAGAGTCAGGCAGTGTGATGGTTAATTTGAGGTCAACTATGCGGTCAATTATGCGATCGCATAAACACTATGCGGGCCGCATAGTTATCGCATAATCCCCTTGGAATATTGTAAGGGGTAGTTCTGCGGTGCATTATGCGACCGCAGAACAGGTATGCAGGCCGCATTTCTGTCGCATACCCAGACAGTGTGTTCAGGTTTTGGGGCCATTTTTGCGGTCCATTCTGCGGGCCACATGTCCATTATGCGATCGCAGATTGTGTCAGGACTCCTATTTTCTAACTTTTAAAACCCGGCTCCATCCCATTAAAAATACCCCATTAGACCATTTTTCTGTTATTTCACGGCATATAGAGTGAGAGAGGAAGTTCTAGAGAGAGAGAGGGAGTGATCTTCATCAAGTCCCCACTCACTCCTTGCCCCAAATCCTTGAAGATTGTCAAGTGAAATTGCTAGGTCTTCACCCTAAGAGGTAAGAACTTGTACCCTCATCTATAATTTCAAAATTTCTATTAAAATAAGTGATTAGCAAGTGAGTTCATGGGTATAAAGGTTGATAATCTCGCATGCATAAAAGATAATGGGGTATGGGGAGGTTGTGAACCAAAAAGATAACAATTGTGGTATAGGATGATGAAAATCTCTCACAAAAGGGGTCCTAAAAATCACTGTGCACACTTAGTGCTTGATAATTTACTTAAATGAGCCAAAATCTTATTCATGTCTCTAATTCTTGGTTCAACTTGTAATTTTCATAAAATAGATCGAGGTTGCTAGGAAATTCCGGAATTTATTATAAGGATTTAAGGAAAGCTCTATTGAGGTTTGTATGGCTAAAACCCCCTCCTCTTAGAAATTGAGCCTCCATGGTGCCTGTGCAAATGTTGTAAGTCCGAAATTTGATTGATGTAGTACTTGTTATACCAAATGAATTGATGTTGTGAAAATGCATGTGGAAGGTGCTTCTCTATGTGTTTAATGTGTTATTCTTTGTAAATTGAGGATGTGTGGTGGACATGAACTATGTGCTAAATGCCTAAATGTCAAGTTAAGGTTACATTGTGATTAATATGCCGAACTAGATAAATTCCCCTCTATGCTTATAACTTAAATTGCTTTTGTGTGTGCCTATGATCTTAAATGGCAAGGTTAATGTTGAAAATGAGAATAATGTGAAACGTGAGTTATGAATGTGGCAATTGTGGCCCCAAGTGCTGATGAACTAATACATGTGGAACCAAAGATTGAAGTGAGAATGATTAATAGAAAAGGGTAACGTCTTGGTAAGATGGCTTAGCCGATCGGGCCGTGATCGGACGCCATGTTATACACACATGGTGGTAATGTATTGATAATTGAACCTGGAAAGTGAGAATGAAATAAGGGTAACGTCTTGATAAGACGGCTTAGCCGATCGGGCCATGATCGGACTCCACTCAAGGAAGCGATGGTAATGTGGATGATGATGCAATGATATGGAATGCCCCAATCTAAAATTTCAGAAATTATGTGAAAACTATGTGAACCTCTTATATTGTTGATGTAGTGCTTGATTGAAGCTTGTTGTCCTTATGATTTCTTTTTTACTTTTGTATGGTTGTTCTTTCTAATTGGAAGGTGTTTAGTTATACATACTAGTACTATTCCATGGTACTAACGTCCCTTTTGCCAGGGGGCGCTACATTTTTAAATGAATGTAGGTGGCTCCATAGCGGATAGTGCCGATCGCGCGTAGCGGAGCATCCTCCTCTCAAAGGCTTGGTGAGCCCCTTTCTCCCTCAAGGGGTTATGTTGTACATCTTTTGTTATAGATATCCACTTTTGAGGTATAGCCGGGGCCTTGTTGCCGGCGTTGTCATTATTGTCTTTTGTATCCTTAGAGGCTCCGTAGACGTTTGTGTGAGTTATGTATGGGTGTTGGATGAATCAATGAACTATGTTGTAACTTGGTACTCTAGTTCCTCTAAACTATAACTGTATGAAATCTTGAAACTTAACCATGATTTTAGGTTTGGGACATGAAAATTGATTAATAATGTGAATGTTTGATTTTGCTATTGTCTAAATAAACGGAAGCATGGTTCCCTTAACCGTATTGAGTTGGGTAGAAATGTATGAATAAGGCTTGCTCAGTTGGGATTTACTCGATTGAGTGCCGGTCGCACCTCCCGAGGTTGGGGCGTGACAAATTTCTCAATAAAAAATCTAAGGAATACAAATCTAGCTGCATGAAATTATATTTGGTATTAAATTTAACGGTATAAAAAATATGCTCGCTCTCTTATTTGATATAGTTCATGCAACATATATTTGTCACTTAAAGTAACTCATTCTTTGTCAAATCTGTTGTCCTAATCTATTGTCTATAGTCAAATCTATTGTAAAGATATGTAATGAGAAAAAAAAAAATACAAGTCTAACTTCTTCTTCATTATCCTCTATTGCTTACCACCAAATCCCTCTTTTGTTTATTCAATCAGAAATTGTTAGCTGTTTTAAAAATTTCAGAGGCACTAAACAATTAAATTCGGACCTTCCATTAAACAGCTCGTTCATCTTTCCGATGCAACCTAATTGCAAGAATTAGCTAAAAATGAACGAGAAACTTATTTTTCCTTAATTCATTTGATCTAGGTTTTCATTTTTAAGTTTTAATTTGATGTTTTGAGATTTCTATTGATCTGCCTGTCTGCATCTGAAGTGATTTTTTTAATTTTATTTTTGTTTGAGTTTTTAAGCTTGAAATTTGATGTTATTGTGCTACGTATTTTCTTGGTGTTTGAGAAAATGGAAGAATGAAAATAAAATATACCGACTAGTTTTACATGGTATCTCTTTGAGTTATAGCTGCTAATTGTTATCCTAGAGTTTACGCTCCGCACCTAAGAGACAGATAAAACAACTCGTCATGTCCCATCACTTTTTAGAACGGGTTGCTCTTATTAATGATGTAACATTCACACTAAGAGGAAAAATATAATTTTTAAGAAATAGGGAATTGATTCCCACTTAATACTTTTATCCTCATTTCTTTAGTGATGCCCCTATATTCTAAAAATTCTAGATCCACATGTGAGGACAACTAAACAGGTTTTGGACTAGAGATGAAAAATGAGCCAAAAAAGAATAAGCTGTGAATAAATTTAATAATTGTTAGTTTATGGAGTCCACCAAACTATAGAGTACCTGGTCCTTTATGAGTTTTTGTTGAGAATACTAATGAAATAGTAGGTAAATGAGACATGGGTTTTTTACGTGGAAACATTCCACACAATCGGACAAAAACCACGGCCTACACTTGTAGGTTTTCAACTTCACTAACTTGTAAATACCCTATTACAAGCCACTTTGTAATGACTCTATTACAAAGACTTCAGCTCAACTAACTTGTGATACTCTTACCACAAGCCACTTTGTCACTCACTAGTTACAATGACTTTAACTTATGACTAACTCTAGTCACAACACAAACTCACAAGTTTATGGTTTTACACGGAGGTTCCTAAGCAACGCTTCTAGCTAAGCCTAGGAATTACAATAAGAACAATTACAAAGTTACAACTCAACTAAAGACAACAAAATACTAAATTGAGGAACTGGTACGTAGTAGCGTTTAACTTTTTTCTTCAAGCTCGTGAGAATTGAGTTCACTGTTTTTAGAAGGCTTGAATGTTTGAAGTGAAAACTCAAGTGTTCAAGTGGTGTTTTGTTATAATGCTCTTGTTAATACGCCATTGTTGACATCACTTGAATGATGTAAGCATTCGGTAGGTCAAAAACAAGTGACTGCAAAACTGCTGCATTGTGTGCACTGTTTCTGTGGCAGTCACTTTCCAGCTATCACAGTTGACTTTCATACTGCTGTCAGGGAAACACAAGGTATTAGGTCCTTGGCTTGTTTCTTCATTTTCTACACTTGCAGCAGTTCACATTAGCTGGAGTCCAGGCTGTAATCCGTTCATTTGTAATGTGTACCAAGTGTGTCAGGTTCCTTATCTGTTTCTTGACAGTAAGTTTGTTAGATCATCAAAACATAAGGCAAAGACATTGAAAACTCATCAATTTTCCCCTTTTTGATGATGATAAACTTAGACATTGATACCATGTATTTAGAGCAAAGAGAAACGGATGACATAACAGGAACTTCACAAGTTCCCCCTCACTTTATGCTTCCCTCTTAATCAGATCCCTGATTCGATTAAACTTTTCCTTTTGGCATTATTAAAAGACACAAGCACGCAAACAACATAAAANATATATATATATATAACATATGCCTTTGCTTAAAAAGCAAAGGCATAATTGGGCTGTTAAAAATGGGAACAGTACTGTGACATCCCAACCACATCAAAGAAAAGACACAAAACATCTGCCAAGTCATAAAAACTAAAAAGAGACAATCCAAAAACTAGTCACTGAAGGGGTTACTTAAGGGGAAGGGCTT